CTGACAATCACACTCACTCACAAGATAGCCATATCAATTTATCTGAACTAACTGCAAAACAGTGCAAGAAGTTGTTAGGATATCTATTTTCGTTTCAGAAAAACCAAGTATTTAAAATAGGGAATTGATTTCCAGACACTCTGTACAGTATTCTGTTCAAGAAAAATATTTATGACTCGTTTTTTTTCTCTATTTGATAACGGTTTTATCCTATATTTATTTGTTTTTAATTTATGTTTAAAAAACATGGCACCTTACATAACTACAATATTTATCAACGTAATCTTGGTACATGAGCTAATATAAAATCAATTGTGTACATCTAAAAATTGCAATTAACTTATTTTTTTCTGAGTCTTTTACTTGGGCATCCCAAACTTGTGTTGTTTTTCCTTGATGAATTAAACGAGCTTCACACGTTAATACGGCTTGTGCTTTTGCTGTTCCGATAAAATTTGATTTTAATTCAATTGTTGTAAATGATTTAGCTTTAGAAGGTTTGGAATACATACAACCATAACCACAAGCTGTATCAGCTAGAGTAACAACAACACCAGCATGAAGATAACCATTTGGTGCTAGAAGTTCTTCACGAATTTTAAGCTGACAAGAAACATAATCATGTGACATAGATAAAATTTCCATACCAATTAAACCTGGAAATTTACCCTTACCACGATCATTCCATGGTGTTATTTTAATAAATTCATCAATAGATATTTTGTTTGATGTTGTATGATCAATTGTATTTTCAGATGTCGAACTAAAATTAAGGAATATGTAGAATTACTTGAATATTGCTTTAACAAAGAAAGACTTTAATACATGATTAAATAAGTTGATAGTTTTTTTATTAATATTAGAATGTTCATAGTTGATATTTATAAGAAATTATCTTTTTGAATTAAATCGTCTTACTCGTTTAGTTTAATAATAAATTTATGTCAGAGATAAATTTCTTTTTTATTTAGTGTTCGTTACATGTTTCCATCATGAAACATTGTCAATATGTTATTTGCAAATGGGACTTTTGAACATTTTTCTTATAAATATCAATTATAATTTTTTCTTTATTATTCGTAAAAGAAATCAATTAATTTTACTATATATTCAACTTTCTCAGTCAGTCTGTTAATAAGATTAATACCAAATCGAACTAAACAAAAACAATGAACTTAGGAAATTTTGATTGTAAAAAATCTATTGAATTAGTTTTCAATTTGATTAAAAATCTTAACGAAGTACATTTTTCAATACCTATATTAACGAGAAAATTATTTTGTTATGTTTGACTTATGTGACGATAATTAAAATTTAAGAAAAATAAAAGAATTTACTTGGTGAGATAATATGGATTTTTTGGAGAATGAGAACCACTTGAAATTTGTTTGAAAACAGATGGTAGTTCTTGTTTTATTTTACTATCAGCATGATAATAGAATTGATGTTCTTGTCGATCAATAATTGATTTTAATTGTGGATTTGTATGATAAGCTTCGATGACAGACGAATCACATATGTAGTTCTTTGATAAAGATGATAACAGACGGCAAGATATTTGCTGAAGATTTCGAAGATTTCTATTGATTATTAATAATGAAAACATATTTAAATATCTATGAAATCTTATAGATGTAAACGAAAAAAAAAATCACAAAATTATACTGAATTAAATTACTTATTAGTTACAACAAAATCTTGAAAGAAATGAACTTTTTACTATGGTATAATGATGGTCCAGCCGTAACTTTACCTGATTGGTAGTTATGCACGATTAGAAAAATTTCTATTGGTTTTAAAAAACGATTTTACTAGTCAGGAAAGTACCTACAATAAATAGTAAAACATCTCATAAGTTAACTTTTAAAGATTTCTCATAATAATATTCATTTTCACAACACATATTAATTTCGTATTCAAGATGTAGAGACATCTAGTGTTGGTTAGAAAAAGGTACTACATAATAAAATCTATTTTTATTAAAAAATATACCATTAGTTGAAAAATCAGATTTGAGTAAAACTAGGGTGTGGGTGGGTGTACGTGTGGAGTGTCGGATGCGGGTGTAGGTGGACGTGAGTGTGCTTGCTGAAGAGAAGACTCACACCTACACCCTACACCAACAGCCCACAGCCACACCCCAAAAACACACTCATGCCTACACCGACACCCATGTCCACCTATACTCACGCCTACATCGACACCCACAATCACGTTCACATCACTCGCTTCCGCTCCCACATCCACAGCCACACACCCACATAGCCATCCACTACTCATAATTACAGCTGTACCAACCCACATCCACGCTCACCCGGAGCCGCAGCCACAACCACGTCCACGAGCACCAATCCACACCATACACCCACAGCCACATTCATCCCAATATAAGATCGCACTAGCCTACAAATTTATGATGATGATACCTCCACTTATTCTCTTTGTATTTTTCTTCTTGCTATCTTATTCTTATCATTCTATTTACTTATGCTTAATTTCTTCTTATCTTGCATTGTCAGTCTCGTTTTATAGGGTTACTAAAAGCCAATATAAAAAACCAAACGAAAGTTGGAAAGAATAACGATAAGATAAATGATTTTGTTGGATTTTTTTCTTTCGTTTGCTTTTGACAATCATATTTTCAATTGAAAGTAGGTGGAGTTTATCTTGAATGTCAACAAAAAAAAACACATATCCATATTTGATGTCGTAGAAAAATCTAGAAAAAAATAGCCATCATCGAATGTATAAATAGAAAACAGTGGTCTCTGTCCAAATAAAAATCTACTATTCACAATACTCAATTACCGAGCCAATAGCAAAATCTGCATCGAAAATGAATCGACAACGAAAACAACGCATGACTGAAAATTATTTGGTTATCTGGGTCGATGCTGATATCAACATTAAAAATGAAGATTGTCAAAATATACTCGCGCAATTGCGCGATGTCGTCAATCAAGTCAATCCATGTAGAACGGTCGAACAATGTATTGAGAAACTCCAGGAAAACAATGAGGAGACATCATTCGTCATCTTCTCAGGTGCACTTGGGCCACACTTAGTACCAGAAATTCATGGCATGCCAAAACTGGATGCCATATACATCTTTTGTGGCAACAAACAGCGCCACGAAATATGGGCCAAAAACTGGACAAAAATCAAGGGCGTCCATACATCAATCAAACACATCTGTGAAAAACTACCAGTAGCTATCAAACAATGTAATCGAGATCAAGTAACAATCAGTTAGAGCCTGCCTTCATGTATACCCAAATATTAAAGGAAATTCTCCTTGACATGTAAACATGGTCAAAAATTCATTCAAAATTTAGTCGCATATTGTCAAGAACAATACAAGGGCAACACCAAAGAGCTCAAGTTAATCAATGATTTTCAACGTGCTTATCATCCAACATTGGCGTTATGGGGGTATACACGCCAATATTTCACCTTCAAAATGCTCAATCGTGCATTACGAACACTCGACGCCGACATAAACATTAGAATGGGATTTTATCTATGTGATCTTCATCAATAAATTAAAGATTTACACAGTAAACAGGTCAGTCAGTATCATGGGAAGTCCTTTTTAGTTTATCGAGACCAATGGTTATCGACAGGCGACTTCGAGAAACTCACAAAAAAACAAAGGTGGTCTCATATCATTTAATAATTTTTCATCCACCCGTATAGATCATGATGTTTCCTTCGCTTTTGCCAAAGGCACCTTAGGAGCAACCGATATGGTTGGTATCCTTTTTCAAATGATAATAGATCCTACTGTCTCATCGACTCTGTTCGCCTCCATCCAGAAGGTGAGTTATTTTAAGGACGAAGAAGAACTTCTCTTCTCCATGCACACAGTTTTTCGAATTGATGAAATTCGAAAAATTGGTAAGAAAAGTCCACTTTATGAAGTGGACCTTAAACTTACGTCAGATGATGACCGACAACTTTGTTGATTGACCGATCATATACGAGAAGACGTCGGCGACACTGGATGATATCAAATGGCCGTCTTGCTGCTCAAAATTCGTCAGTTCAACAAGGCCGAAGAATTGTACATGGCACTACTAGAACAAGCATCGAACGACAGTGATAAAGCATATATCTATAACCAGCTTGGACAGTTGAAAGACGGCCAAGGACAATATACAAAAGCAGCTTCATTTTACGAAAGGTCCCTCGAAACCTATCGAAGAACTTTTCCGGAAGATCATTCTTCATTGACTACTTCCTACAGCAACACCGGTAAAGTCTATAACGACATAGGTAACTACTCGAAAGCACTTGAATTTTACGAAAAAACACTTAAAATAAGAGAAAAAGCTTTGCCATCGAATCATCCCGATTTGGTTGCTTCCTACAACAACATCGGTGGAGTGTATAACGACATAGGTAACTACTCGAAAGCACTTGAATTTTACGAAAAAGCTCTAGAAATCATAAAAAAAGCTCTGCCTCAGAATATGAAATTTTAGAAGAAAAAAAACAGAATTAAGCAAATCTATTCCATCAAGAACTACCGAACGAATTGATATACAGTGGCCGCAAAAATTATCCGTACAGTTTGTTTTTGATGAAAGATAGCCAGAATACCGACCTTTTAAGATTTG